AAAAAAAAAAAAACTTAGGCCCAAACCAACTGCTAAATTTGAGTACAATTAACGAATTTAAGAAATGAAAGATGGATGGAGAGACAGAGAAAGGGAGAGAGAGAGGGAGAAAGGAGGGAGAGAGAGATAGAGAGACACAAATAGAGAGACATAGATGAGTAAGAAAAAAGATACAGATAGAGAGGCGTAGAGGAGTAAGAAAACAACTTAGCGCCCGGGGTGGGGGCGTTTCGCACAATGCCCGCAAAAGTAAGAAATGTTATAGGCAACCTGACACATGGCACTCGCATAAACTCAAACAAACAATCAAGAGAGGGAGAGAGCACAAAGAAAAGAATAAAGAAAGTGAGGAATTGAAGAAAGTGTCAAATCGAGAAATCCAACAAAAAAAAATAGGAGAAAGGGCGAGGAGACACAGACGCAAACAAAGAGAGACAAAAAGAAAGGAAATAATAGAGACACAAGAGAGACACAAAGAGAGAGAGAGAGAGAGAGAGAGAGAGAGAGAGAGAGAGAGAGAGAGAGAGAAAAAAAAAAAAAAAAGATATGGATATGTATAGAAAGAGAGAAAAAGATACAGATCAAAAGAGAGAGAGAGAGCACTAATGAAATAGCAAATAACAAAGAAAGACCAACATGAACATTAAAAAAAAGAAGTTCAGTATCGACATTTTTCATTCGATTGAACTGAGGAAGTGCCCACACTATGGTCAACGCATAATTATCGCGTAATTGAATCCAGCTTGACTTTAGAAAACATCATAATGTTAAGGCACAATTTTTTTCCTCTCTCTTTCTCTCTCTCTGTCTATCTATCTATCTATCTATCTATCTATCTATCTATCTATCTATCTATTTATCTATCTATCTATCTATCTATCTTATCTATCTGTCGCTATCTCTCTATCGCTATCTCTCTATATATCCCCCCCCCCCCCCCCCCCTCTGGACGCCTTTATTTATCTCTCTCTTTATATTTATCTTGTAACGACAATTACTTAACCGAAAGGAAAGTTGACTATCAACAAAATTATGATTCAAGCAACGTATGAACGACAGCCCAATCAACACCTCTCTCTTCCTATCTCTCTTAGTAGAGATATCAACTTCCTTCATTGGAACCGTACTCTTGCAGCAGCTCACGAATAGAAACTTGTTGCAACACTCTGCGACGATACTCCTCAAAAGTTCTGAATCGAGTCTGCCTTTGTCGATTGTAATCGAGATGAATGGCAGCATCAACACATCTCCAAGTGTTCATGTTCGTATTCAAATGTGCTGCAGCTTCCACAATATCTTCCACCCTGCGAGAACTGTCAAGATAAGACAGGTATGCAAGTGTTTTTTTGGAACCAATAGATTCAAGAGAGTCATAGATCGCAATGTTAAAATTAGAAGAACTTGGTTGTTCCAAGGGTCCTGTATAGACATGGAGATGGTCTCTCCACGGCGTGGGAGCGGGCACAATACAACCAAAAGGAGATGGAGTTGCCGTAGCGGCATGCGAAGCAGAAACAACAACAGAAGTCGTGACAATCGACATTGACATAGTGGATGGGGTAGCATAATCCGAAAGACGTTGAAAAGTTGGAGGAGATGCTGTTGGAAGGGGGAGTCTACGGACCGGAACGGAATGAGGAGCAGAAGAAGAAACCTTAAAAGGAATCCTTTTCAAAAGGCGTTGTATCCGTGCATATCTGAAAAAAGGTTGGGGAATAAGCCCTTCTGTCGGACAATATAGCAAATCAAACGTCATCCTAGCGATCTCCTCATTACAGAGAGCAATGAACTCATCCTGCAAAAGGGATTGTAACATCCAAGAAGCCTCCAAATCTGAAACATTCAATGGGTTTGAAGGAAGAGTCCCAGAGGATTTTCGTTCCAACCGCATATCTGTGAGTTTGCTTCTTTCCCAGTCCAAAAACTTTCCCATATATCTTCATCCTTTGCAACGCTCGCAGTTTGGACAAACATTTCAAAAAGCACCTCAGTCAAGACTTTTTGCAGGCCAACCTTCTTCGCATCGTCGAACCGTTTGCCAAGGTAAGCGGTGGATTCGGAGTGYCGATTGTGGGTGCACCCTTACCATGAGGCACCACAATAACAGCTGAAGGATTTTGTGGTTGTGATGTGGTGTAAACATCTCTTTCGCGTTGGCTGTGTTGAGATTGCGAACACGAATCCTGAACCCGTGCACGTCTAGGGAGTGGTAAACGAAACAGAAGAGGTGCAAGTTCATCGGTACAGATGCCATCCAGCGCTCTCAAAACCTGAGTTGCCGTTTCACTAACAACCGGTTGTCGTTCCTCCCTATTCGTAGCGAACGCATGCTTGAGCATTCCAGCCGAACACACATTATCAGTTGTGTTAATTGTTGAACTCGCATGCCCATGAACTGTAGTTGCCGGAACGGTGGATGATTTCTTTCTTTGTGCAGAGCGTTGGGATTGCGAACATGAATCACGAGCGCGCACATCTCCAACAACTCCATGAGTGACAAATTCATCTCCCAACACCTCAGAATGGAGTTGTTCCAACTTGTAACGAACTCCGAATGAAGTTTGACAGTGAGCATTTTTTTCCTCCATCTGTAATTTCGGAGGGTCAGCTCACCAATTGGAGTTGAACCCACGAGATTCTTTTCMTGAGGAACACGATTACGCTTGGCTGTAGAATCAATCGCTTSAGAATCACTCGTATCGCTATCATCTTTGTCATCATCGAGCAGAGACTTACCGGTCAAACCCAATRAAAAATTAGGCACAGATTTGTCACGCCGATCGTAACCATCGTCATAAAAGTCAACATGCATTTTTTCAGCATCGTCGAGGGTGCTCACTTGTTGATGGGCACCTTCAACTCAATCGCGCACAATATGATGGCCACTAGTATGTTCATTTTCATTATCCGATGTATCTTGTTTYTTGCTCTTCCTTGATCGCCTTGACTGGGCCCCTTGTTGTCTAGATGTAACATTCACAGCACCTTCAGTTGTATTGCTATTGACGGTTTGTTTCCTCTTTTTYGTTTGAGCGTGTGTCCCATAGGTAYGGTGCAGTTCAGAGTCGCCTGCGGGGAAAAAAAAAWAATAAGTTTACCAAAATTCAACACCGATCAGCCGGAAGATATATATACGACAAAAGAGAAGAACTCATTCAAAAAGTGACGCGCATGTCCTAGCAACTCATCCGAAAGAGATATATACGACCAAGAAGAATAAATCATTGCAAAAGTTCGTAATAAACGATATTCTTTGTGATGAACTTTTTGTCGGGCAACACAACACGAAAGTTGTAGGGATGACCAACGCGCGACAAAGCAACATACAACTGGCCATGCGCAAAAACAAGTTTCCGCGACCAAACCCCGGCACGAGAGACAGTTTGTCCTTGCGACTGGTTAACGGTCGCAGAAAACGCAAGACGAATGAGGAACTGCCTCCTACTCCATTTAAACCCCGTGGTTTCACCATCACTTGTTAAATCGATTTTAGATACACGTTATGGTCACTTCCAACAAATCATCATCAACAATCTTTTTAAGAATTAACCTTGTGTCATTGCAAAGTCCTTGTTTGGGCGACAAATTGCGCAACAACATCAAAGGCGCACCAATTTTCAAGCGCAGTTTGTGATGCGGAAGACCAGACTCATTGAGAGAATTTAAGAACTTTTGTTGGATAGCAAGTTCGTGATCATCAGAAGCAGGGTAATCAACACTATAACTTTCACGCATCTCGTCGGGGAAATCGTTCAGAACCATATCGTTAACATACCCCGCATCGTCATTGGTAGCGCAAAGAATCAATCGAGCATAAAAATAGTCAGCATCCCCAACGTGTTCACACACATCGTCAAACGTCCACGAAATCAAATCACGAATAGGTTTATCAGTACAAATCTCACGCGGCGGTTTGACCGCGACAGGTTCATTAGGAAGAAAACAAATATGATCACCCATTCCCAATACGCATCAAAAACGCGTCATACATTCGCGCCATTGGATCATCCCCTAAGCTTAAGATCCGCATATTCTCAGTAAGGCAATGGACCTCAAAGAGTTTCCACAAAGGAGACATTTTAATAGAGGCATCAACTTGTTGCGCTCGAAACCCGTGCTTCACAACGGGCAAAACCTGYCGAAAGTCCCCAGAAAGAAGCAAAACCTTTCCTCCAAACGGGAGGTTACTGCTACAGAGATCTCGAGGCATAATGCCAAGAGCTTCCAAGTCGAACTTGTTACTCAGCGGAACCTCCTCCCAAACGATCAAATCGGCACGGCGGATAAGTTCGGCAAGATCACCCTGTTTCGGAATATTGAAGGGACGAGTGTTATCAGGTTTCAAAGGTGCTCGAAATCGTGAGTGAAATGTTCGACCACCGGTCAAAAGAGTCGCCGCTATCCCACCGGACGCCACAGCGAGTCCAATACTATTACGCGACCTGATCCCCGCCAAAATCGTTTATATGCAAAAAGTCTTTCCTGTTCCTGTCGGCGCATCTACAAAAGCATAAAATGGTTGTTTCTCTTCCACGGCCCGAACAACTCTTTGCACAAGCACTTTTTGGCGTGGTCGAAGACGTCGGAAATTAGACTCAAATCTAGTTCGCATCTCAATCGGATCATACGACAACTCGTCATTTATAATCAATGACACAGTCTTGTTCTCGTAATGCCTGTTTATGTCGTCGGCAACCGTTTCTCCATCAGGGGTCGGATAATAAAGACCAAACAGGCGAATGTTTTTGCCAGACTCGTGTAAGATACGGACAAGATCAAAGAGCACCAAACATTGCAAAACAATCGGAGGAAGAATTAGAGAGTCAGAACGATACTGAAAATCATCACACATTTTATCCCAATGTCGTTCAAAGAATTGAACAGGATCGTTGACCGGGCCAAACAGCAGAAGCATAGCGAACACTTTACAAACCTCTGCAGGCATATAATGGAGTGCGGCCGTCTCTATACATTGATTATATGCATCATCGGTTTGCAAAAGTCCTTATCGAAGACACACCGATCGAAACGAATCGTATTTGACTCCATCCACGGTACGAATTTATGCAAAAGAGCGTGCTCCACGAGAGTGCTCATGGTGTTGCAACACATAGAGATAGAAGCGTTCGCCTTCCGTGACCTTGGCATGATGCAATCGAGATATTTTTTCGAAAGGAGCACCATGAAGAGCACGTTTTCTTCTGTTCCACACCTTATATTGATTATCCCACACATGAGTTTTAATAATGTCAGGATACAAAGGGAGCTCGTGTTTAGGAACATGTGCGTTCAAAAAGTTGTGATCCATCCATGCCGTCAATTTTGTGGTCGGCGGCCCACACGAAAGAACACCATCTTCCATGCCCGATTCGAACACCACTTTTTGCATGTTCTCAATATGCACGGGCAATCTTTCGACTGCGGGTCACTGTTCCGCAAGGCCGAACTCAAACAGACGCCATCATGCCACACATGCACCAACAACACGCATATCTTGATAGGATGTGACTTCATCGACATTGGCATCATTATTTTGTTCGCAAACCATGGCACGATCACAACCTTTATACACGTACTTATACACATACTTGCACGCCTTGATGTTAGCACAACATTCGACATTGATGTGGAAGTTAAACCTCATCAGCAAGTACGGGTTATACGGGACCACTCCACGATTGTCATAAACAATGCGATTTTGAAAAACCGTAAAGCCACCGTCACTTGCTTTTCTTCTCCTACAATAAGGATAAGTTTGTTCATCTTTGAAGGTTGTCGTGGAAATGAATTCTTTTGGAAACCCTTTCGTGCATTTCCCGTTCTCGGTACACGAAGCATCCTGTTTGTCCTCACCGCAAATGCCGTGCAACATGAATTTGACAACCCTTTCTCTCAATTCCCCTTCAGGCGAAATCTCTGCACACACTACGTTGTCAACAGCATCTGAATCGCGGATTTTATCATCCGGATGCAAGATGACCAATATGTGTGCATGCGGCAGACCCCTTTTTTGGAACTCCACCACATATAACAGTCCATCGACTCTCCCAAAGATCCGTTTTTTCTTAATCTCGTCAATGAATTGGGTGAGATAACCTTTGAGCACTCGGGCAAGAAGATCAGGCTTGTCGGTTGCACACTGACCCGGCAAGAGGGCTTGTTTGATCTCCGGCCAGTTTGTATTACACGTCATAGTGATAAAAAAATTGAGTTTTTCAAACCGCCTCACAATTGTTATGCTATCATGATATCTTTCGGTTATATACCGTGGTCCCCCAGTGAAGGTGGAGGGCAGAAGTATTTTTGTCCCGACACCATCACCGTGCAGATTTTGTTGCACAGTGTCTCGCAGGTCCTGATAATATTTTGACCGCAAGTCTTTCTGATGGAATCTTACCCATTTCAAGCGAAGGGATTCAACCTTAGCGTAAGCCATGCAACAAAACTCGTGGAAAAAACGTGCCGCATAAAGGAGGCAAGGCCTTTCATCAGCGCGTTCGTGCAGGTGAAACGCATAGTACTCCTTTGCACCGAGCCCTGACGGCCATCCAGCTTCCGAGGCACGGCGGACATACCAACTATCAATTCCTTCTGGAAAAAAGCAAAACAAACCTCAAACAGTCGTGCGCTCGGGAACACTCCGGAACGACAACTGTTGTCCGCTCACCCGGAAGAGGAGCACGCAAACGAATCTCAATCTCACGAGGAAGAAGGTCATCTGCCATGAGAACGCAGACCTCCTGTAGGCCCGTCGGACGGTTGTAACGCCTCCGATGTTCCTCCGCGGACATGGCATCCGGATTTATGACCAACTTCCTTCCATTCAACGCTCCCGGTGGAAGGTCGGCGATGGTCATGAAGTCCTTCATGTAGTAGTTACACTGTTGTAGCAACTCGTGAAACCTTTTTAACAGTCGTCTCATTCGGTGAAGTTCGGCATCAGACGTGTGTGCAGGAAAATTAAGGAAATCCACTCTTTGATCAATCGCATCATCCAAACGGTGAGGATCGTGCAAGTAAAGTTGTGCAAACCGAGGAAGTTCCCCTTCCCCCACAGCCAATGCACCGACACGATGATAGATCGGACCCTGAGCCCGAAGTTGGCCCTGGAATCCCTGAACGCCATCGCTCGGTTGCTTCAACCTCGAGGATGCGAGAGATAAACTGTTATTGACTATCCTCGCATTGTTTCGAACGAATCGGCCTTCGGGAGTTTGAGACGTCCAAATAGAAAGAATCTCATGCTCCGGGGACCCTTCTCGAGGCCATTCCCACAGAGGACAACATCTCGTACCTTTTCTGCAACATATTTTTGTCCAATTTTTTTCATGATTCCACAACTTTGCACCACAATACCTGCACGATTCTCGACCACCAACGTCGAACGCTTGAACCGTGCTAGCATTCGCAACAATAGCCACGGTGTTCTCAACAGCTGCATACGGTGTTGCCACGGGTACGGACGAGAGTCCATTCATATCAGCAGGCGGATCATCATCCAAATCATTCATTTCCTCATCCTGATTATCCGGCTCACCATGTTCCCGACTGCTCATTGAATTTTGAATCACAACGGACGGATTATATGACTGCTCCGCTCTCCCCGACATACTTCGACATTGCCTCAGTTGAGAACAATGACGATGCGTTTCCTTCGAAGAAGAAGATGCACCCAGCGACTGGCCGGAGGTGGTTGCTCGAATCTCTCGAAAGATATTTACAGGGGCCAAACTTTGCCTCACACCCCGTAAAAAACGTTTGTGAGCATCGATATCGTCTTTCCTCCTGTGATTCTTAATTTCGACTCTCAATGCACGCATACGTTTAACGTGATAGCTTGCCAGTGTTTGGAGCCTTTTCTTTCGAGTGGAAATTCCATACAATGTAGACCTAGGTTCATTGCCATTCATCGTATGGACTTGTTTTGTTCCACCGCCACCGGCCACTGTACTTTCAACAACTACCGCATGTGCATCGAAATCGGGGAAGACAGACCAACGTACGGACGACGACAATCCAAGGTTCAAACGACGCGCGACTTTACTGCTGCGCAGTGCCCGAAGGCACAACATACGATATCGTCTGTTGCGACTCGAACAAATCGGTTTCAATATTGCCGATCTCCTTCGACGATTATGAAATCCAACAAACTTCCTAACCATTGCGTTCGGGGAATTTGGCAAGTTTCCGAGAGAAGAGCATGTATGTGCATGAGTCGTTCCGATGGAAGGATAAAGATCAGGTTGCACGCATCTTCGCCGCACATCTTATACGAATGTGGACGACGAACTCTTATCTACATGTGGCGAATGAAAGGAAGAATCATGAACTGGAAAGGTTGTTTCGATCGTACGAACAAAATTTGTACGGACCACATCATGCGTAAAATTTCCATCAGGTCGTGCACTACACAAGGTGATAGGCAGGTTTCCTTGACAACGAATCTCATTCGAACCAACATCAACATTTTCTTGACTCCTACGGACAAAAAATTGAGGGCTTGCGATACCATCCGACAATGGAATTGTTTGTTGGAAAGACAAAGATCTATCACTACATTGTTCTTCCAAAGAACAATCAAGCCTGCGATCAGGAGTTATCATCAGTTGTTTGCCCCTTCCGTCAGTAGTCACATCACCTACAGCACCTAGCGGTTGTAGTAAAGACCTTCGAGTCCGCCGACTCTGGGAAGGCGGCCGACCACGTTTGCGGTGTTCATCTTTTGATGATACCCGTGTTTCAGTAGTAAAGGGACAGTGAGTAATATCCGAACGTACACGCAATCCTAAGCCATCATTCGCCGAAAAAGAAAGATTTTGTACTTAAGGGTAATCAACTCGAGCGGAATCAATGGCAGGAGAGTTATCGCACTTAGGTATTGTTGGAGAAGACAACAAAGGACCGATAAGAGGTCTTTCGCAATGGCGAACGCGTCTTCGACGCTTCCATGGAACGTGCGAGGACTTGTCGTCAGATTAAGGAGAGTTCGGAGCGGCAAACAAATTAATGTTCAGTGAATCCTTATCTATGCTTTCATCCCCTGCCATGTGAACGGGCGTCCATCCGTCTCTTCCTAGGCGACTATAACGTAAAATTAGAACGTAAAAATCAAAGGTTATGAGGAATATGGAAGATCTAAATATCAGCATGATGATATATATCCCAGAATCTTTGTATACAGATGTAATTATGGTAGTAATAAAAAATATATAGGGCAAAGCATTTTAAAAAAAGAAAAAATATAGTAAAAGGATAAACGAAGTTGGCAAAACACAAAACGAAAAACGAACGGAGGAAAACGTTGAGTTGATGTTTTTTATTTATTTATTTATTCTTTAAATGTTTATGTCAAGGGGAATGAAGGTTAAACAACTGATGACCAATTGTATTTTGTCGATTTTATTCGTTCGTTGTATTTTTTTTTATTGTTCGTAAAAAAAATGATAATTTCTTTTTCAGATGTTTTTTTTTCCCCTATACGCCCCTTAGTCTTTTCAGGGCCTCATGGGATCGAGTCATACGTACCTCATTTATCCACGTTTACCCTTTGTCATTCCTCGACAGGGCTCACTTTCCTATTCGTATAAGTTTGTGATTGGGAATGGAGTTTCTTTCAACTCTAATCGAATTCGGGAGAAGCGGCTCCTACTTGCGGCCAGCCTTGGGTATTCTAAGTCAGTCACCGTTCACAAAAAAATCGAAGAAGGGTAAAAGTTGTCCCCAACCTGCCCGAGTCCCAACCGCTAGAATGTAGTCTGTGACACCCGTCCTCCTCGCCCAGACACGAGGCCTAGATCTCAGAAGTAGGCGTTGGCGGATCGAAGCCTTCAGCTCCCCAAGCAGGGGATACTGATTGAACTTTTCCTGTAATTCCATATGGGTCCGAAATCCATACACCATGACCAAATAATCCAGTTACATGAAAAGCACCGAACCCAAAGCATAATAAACCTGACAAAAAAAGATGAATTCGTTAGCATAGACAAAAAAATCTATTTAGATTCCGTCCTCCTCGCCCAGACCCGAGGCTTGGATCTTAGAAGTAGGCGTTGGATCCACCACAACAACTTGCACCACCCCCATAAATGGGTCTATGAGGCGTACCGCACCTCTCCCCAGCCAGCCTCGAAGCCATTCCTAGCGATTGAGGTCGGTCAAACTGTTGATGACCTCACCATTCCTCTCCTCCCTTGTTAGGGTAACTTAGACGAAATAGGAGCAAAGGGGGTAAAAAACAAGATTTTTTGGAACAGGCTTACATGGGAGGAGGTCGTTCGGGATACCATGGGTGCCTTGGGAAAAAAGTTACATTTATTGTTACTTTCATTATTTATTATCGGACGGGTTCCTTCTCCGATATTCCTTACATTACACAGTGCGAACCAACCCTCCAAATATTATTTATTTTCCTTCATCTAAGCGGCTTAATATTTTCAGCGTGGAATGGAACATAATTATACGTACCTTGTTTTCGAATAACCATGTTTTTCTTTCCTTCAACAATATGTAATCGGAGACGCTGAATGTGTGTTGTTGTTGTTTTGTTTTTTTATTTTAACTATCGATGTTTTTCTTTAACGATTCTTCATTAAATCACATTTTCGTAACATAC